GTAAAAAAATAATAATTAAATACAAACTAAATTTTTTAAAAATAAACTATTGTTAAGTTCTAAAATTGACCCTCTTGAATAAAACTCATTTTATAGATTTTTGGTGAGTATGATTTTTATAAAAAAATGGATAAATAACTAACTTTTATTTCATAAGAAAATAAATAGACTTGATAATTTATAATTAGAATTTTGTGTGATATTAAAAAATAATTTAAGTCTGTAAAATCTAAACTAATTGTCATTAAATATGTGGGTAAACCAATATTTGGGCCGCCCATTTAAGGTTTAAACTAATTATACATATATAAATTACTAGAACCATTTAATGTAAATTCAAAAACATAGGTTCACTACAAGAATTGAACACGGGACATGCCACCACAGAGCAGGTAGCGCCTTTTCCAGTTAGTCTATAATCATGTTTGTTTAAAATATAGAACTACTTATATATAATTATTAACGTACATCTTTTTGGAGCCCCAATCCAACGATGGGCCTGGGTCATCGCCCAGCTTGCCCACCCCCATGTGTTAGGCCTGTCTACAACTAAAGAATCATCAAGATAGCAACTTGAGGACTTACAAATGGTCCATAGAGTGATTCCAAAGGTGGAGATGAGTTGTTGCTTGATCCTTGGGCTAACACCTTCTTCATCTTCCCTCAAAATGCAACAAAACACCAAAAAGAGCTCAAAACTCAACAAGGGAGGCTAAGGTTAGGATTTCTGATCTTGAGAGGGTGATGAGGCTGATAAAGAACCCTAGGTACAAGGTAGTGAGGTTTAAATACAGAAGAAACCCTAAAAGATTTTGGGCTTGAGCCTGAGAAGCTGCCATGTCGCGACGATTCAATAAAATGTGCATTATTTTATTCGATGTCACTCCGTGGGCATCCTTGCACCATGTCATGGCACAAAGTTTTTCCAAAACTTCACCCTTAGTCCATGCGAAAAGAGATAGCTAAACAAATTTGGAACACGAGTGTTAATTTTTTTTTCTAACTGTTAATACTAATTTATTTCTTTTATTGTTATAAAATTAACAAATGTACAACCCCTTTTAAGTTTATGTACAATCACACCCATAATAACCTGTTCAAAGTGCACAAGTGACCTCGACAACCACCGGTGATAAATTACTCTACTACCCTATATATCTTCTCCGCTAGTCACCACCTCCTGGAACCACCACCAATGAATTAGATAACCACCACCTGCTCCAAATCATATGAAACCAAAAGCAAACATGGACCTGAAAAGTTGATAAACCAGGAAAATCAAACATGATGCGAGCTTCTTATTTCAAAAAACTTAAATCCCAACAAATCTTGAAAGAAGAAAACAAAGTAAAGTTAATGCAAACCTAACACGAACTTGAAGTAATCTTGAAGTAAACCCAATAAAACCTAATGTAACCTTCCAAAAAAATCCTCAAGCAAACTTGATGTAAACCCAACCTAATTATGTTTGTAAAACAATCGATTTCAAAAATCTAGAAAATCGAGTGAGAAATCAATTTCAGAATATCCTCAAGCAAACCTAATGCAAACCTAACCTAAAGCACATCTAATTGATAATTGATTTTAGAAAATAGATTTTATGTAAAATCAAAACTCCGTTGCATATTAGTACTTGAGAAAAGAAGGATGAAAGTGATGAACGTGAAGATATCGATCTCTGGTGACGATCTTTATGGTGCACATCAGATTCATTGGGTTACTTCAGGTTTAGGAGGCTAGACCTTCCAGTGAGTTCACACACGGTAAGAAACGGAGACATAAGGTGGTGGATGTTTGTTAGACGGTGGTGACAGGGTTTTCTGCCGATAGAGGCAGAATAGAGACATGCGAAAAGAGAGATAACGGTGGGAAGACGGGCTGATCGGAAGGGTTAAATCAAAGAGGTGGTGTTGTTTGTAGGATCGTGGGACCCATATCTTCATTAAACTATTTGTTTTAATTGATTAATTGTAAATAAATAAAAATTAATTAAAAAAGAAATATACAAGGTTAGTATGGTCATTTTAAGTTGTTCGGGGACCAAAACCAAAACCAAAACAAAACAATGGGACGGTCTGAGTGCAAAAATAAATTTGGGACCAAACATCCAATTTTATCCAAACCACATGGACAATATCATTATTTTACTCTAATAAAATGATATATTTTATTTAAATCACACTAAAAACATATATAATTACTTTTTGTTAACCAACAAAATGTATATAATTAACACTTTAAAATTTCAAGATTTGAATCAGGCAAATAATAAAACCCATATAAAGCTAAAAATAAAAAATTAAAAAAAGAAGAAAAAGTAAATATAAAAGAAAATAGTCAAGCTTTTATTAAATGTACATATCAATAGTAAGTAAAGAAAAAAACATAGAATCCAATAGTTGCCTAGTGCATAGTAACATCGATAGAAAGTAAGGTTGTAACTTGGAAGGCTCGTTATGTCTCATTCGGAGGAGGTTTGTTCTTTTGCAAAGCGACTTGGGTGCTTAGGATCATACTTGTTTTCGATTTAAAAAATCTCCAACGAAAGTTGTAATATCCTTAAAATAAGACTAAAATAAAACATTATTAAATCTATAAAATTGTAACACCCTCTCTGCCGTGTATCACAATATTGTCTGTTTTTGACTCTTGAAACGAGAACTTCCCAGGGGTCACCCATCCCTGAATTTCTCTTGTTGGGGCACACTTAATTGTAGAGTTAATATGAGATATGCTGCCCTCATGGCTTTAAAACATGTTGTGATAGGAAAGGTATCCACACTCCTTATAAGGAATGTTTAGTTCTCCTTCCCAGCCGATGTGGGAAGGGTGTGGAAACCTTCCATGTATAACTCGTTTTGAAACTGTGAGGGGAGCAGATCCCATAAGAAATTAGTATTTAAGCGTGCTTGGGCGAGAGGAATCTAGAGAGTTTACTCGATGGTGAAAAATGACCTAAATGTTAAGTATAACGGTGAGGAAGGACCATAAGTGTAATATTTTTAGTATCTGGCTTGTATGGGGTTAAAATATAAGAAAGTAGAATCATGTGGGGGCAAATATAAACATTTAGAAGTATTAGTCAAGAGCTTGAGGAATTATTCCCCATTTGAACATGAAATGACAATTTGGAGGGAGAGAAGAGCTCAAAATGGCTATTTTCATCGAGATTGAAGAACTAGAGTGAGTCACTTGAGGATCAAGCTAGGAGTTAGTGTTAGAAATGAAATTTGAGCTCATGAGGTAGTGTTTCTTCCCTTTCTTAGCTTAATGTCGGTCTAGGGTTTTAAAAACCCATTTGAATGCAAATATGTAATTTTAATTATGATTTGTATTTTCTTCTTCTGTTGGGTGTTCTATACATCTATAAATACTAGAATAAACCATCAAAATAATCAAAAAATCTTTATGTGTACATGCACCTTAGAATCTAAGTTTTACTAGTTATAGCAACCTACTTTAAAATTGTAAATATACTAAGAAATACAAACTTACTAACCTCTTTTGTAGCTTGATTTTGATTTTCTTAAACCCTTCTTGAACCTTATTGATTCCTTCTTGATCCAACCATGTTGCTTAGACGAGAGCCAATGAATAATCTCTCTAATGGAATCACACCCGCGACTCCAAAGAGATAACCAAAAGAAAACTAGGAGAGTGACAACTCTAAAAACCTTAGAAATGGTTAAAAAATTCATTCCATAGAAAGGGAGGGAAGAAGCAGGAGAAATGTCAAGTCAATGTGCGAGGTGGAATGAATCATTTAGCACCCTATTTATAGCCTTAAAGCCATTTCCATGTTTCATCTCCCGTCCCTGAAATCACTATTGGATCGTCTCTGCCTAGTTGGATTATTCGATTTCGGGATCTTCGTTGAATGAATGCGAAAGGGCTTCCGCTAAGCATACCACCATTCCAAAAATAAAATATAATATTGTTTTCTTTTTTAATAACCTAAATAAAATAATTAACTTTAAAAACAATCCAATGGTAATTATATAAATCCGAGCACATCAACTTTGAACGTCAATAATATCTAACTCAACAACTTTCTTCGACTCCATTCCGCAATGATTTTTTTATATATATTTGGAATCAATAAAGTATATATATATATAGTAAATTTCAATGGAAAAAATATTAAAAAAACGGACACCACAATGAGCTTGAAAAATTCAGACCCTTTTGGAACTCTTGGATTGTTTTTTTCTTTATTTTAGAAATAATTTTTTTTATTATTATTTTGATGCAACATAATTGATATTTATCTAATTCTATCAAACCCAAAGAATAGGTAAGTGGAGATTGATGATGATATACGACTGTTTTCATAAATAACATTGACATGTCAAATAAGAACTACAATAGCATAAATGCACGATGTAGTATTTATATACAAGCCGTGAAATATACATGTAAAGTTATACAGTTCGGTAATCTTCGACTACACGTCAAAACTATATCACCAAAATATACAGTTCCAGTTAATGTTAAATGGTAGACATACTAATAAATCGAAACTAATAAATATTCTTATACGAAGCAGTTGGAGTGTGACTTTAGCTTGATGATCTGAAGAGATATTCCGACCCAAAACAAAGTGAATAAATCCGAATAACAATCTTGAAGAGATAAACGTTTGTAGTATATAGGTTGTGGACTGTTAGACCTGAAATCATGGTTATTCTGGATTTTTTTTATATGGGTGACTTTATATATATATATATATATATATATATATATATATATATATATATATATATATATATATATATATATATATATATATATATATATATATATATATATAAACATTGAAAAAACAGAGCAGTACTCAATGGAAGAAGAAAGGAATAGAAGAAATTCTTCATTTGAATTTTCTCAGTATAAAACGTTTCAAATATTTCTTTCACTAATGTAAACTAACACGAACAATTAATTAAACCTTAATGCAATCCGTTTTTGTTTGTACCTTTCATGTTTAATAAATAAATATCCATTCACAACCGGAAACTTCTATTAATAGCTTTAATAGTTATACACTTGTTAAATCGGGAAGTGTTCCCAAAGTTCAAACATCACCTGAACCCATGAAGAAATTTCTTAAACACTCATTACAAATTAAAAAGTTAGAAGTCTTCTATAAGAATTAAACATGGTCTTTGGTCAATATCAAGCTCCCATTTCTCCATCTTCACACCTTCGATCCTCCCTCTTGACCCCATTCATGTCTCTATCTATCTCCCTATATATACATACATTCTCAAATATCGATAACTTATACACACATCTGAAAAGATTTCATATAACCACAAAGAAATGGATAACAAAAGCTTAAAGTTTTCTTCAATCTTGATTACTCTTATCATGATCTTTTGTGCAACTTTTGCTACTGCTCAAGAAGTTGGTAAGTTACTATAAAATTTTGAATTCAACTTTATACTTATTTCTTACGTTTTTTAGTTGTTGATATTTCGTGTTCTTGAAAAATGTTGTTAATGGTTGTGTAGATGATGAAAGTGAGTTCACTTACGATGTGAACAGTCCAAACGGGCCGGATCATTGGGGAGAGATCCATCCCGAGTGGAGCATGTGTAACCAAGGAGACTTGCAATCACCCATTGATCTTACACATAAAAGGGTTCAAACAACTTCGAGTCTTGGAAGAATTGATAGAGATTATAAACCTGCAAAATCGACTCTTATTAATAGAGGCCATGATATGATGGTAAGTAAAATATTGAATAATTAAAAGGCAAAAAATCCATTTTATGTAAGTTAGATACTAGTTATGTTATTATAATAATATGTAGTTTAACTATATGATCAACAGTTGAGATTTGTTGGAGGAGCAGGACATATTCATATAAACGGAACTGAGTATCAACTTAACCAACTTCATTGGCACACTCCTACAGAACACACCATCAATGGCCGAAGGTACAACAGTTTACACTCACCTTTTACTAAAAGAGGATATAAATTCTCCAAAATAATTTATTTGAGAAGTAAGATGAAACAATTTTTTTACCAAAAACACTATACAGATTCAATCTAGAGCTACACTTGGTTCATCAAAGTGCAGACGAAAAAATTGCAGTGATTGGAATCATGTATAAGATCGGGCGTCATGATTCTCTTCTATCAATGGTAAGTAAATAAATAGCTTGATATTCTTGTTTATGTGATACATATATATATATATATATATATATATATATATATATATATATATATATATATATATATATATATATATATATATATATATATATATATATATATATATATATATATATATATATATGGTAAGTAAAAACTGCATAGCTTGATATTCTTGTTTATGTGATACATGATCAGATGGAACCATATTTTAAAGCATTGAGTTCTACGAAAGATGTTGAAAAAAGTGTGGGAATAGTTGACCCAAGAGAAATAAAGATTGGAAGCAGAAAATATTATCGATATATTGGCTCACTTACTACACCTCCATGCTACCAAAATGTTATTTGGACCATTGTTAAGAAGGTGATAAACTGATAATGAATTAATATCTATTTATTTTGCAAATAATTTCATATTAATTAATGTTTAGTATCATAAGGAATTAAATTAATTTACAATGTTGAATATTAGGTGAGAACAGTTTCACGAGCACAATTACATGCAATTCGAGAAGCTGTCCATGACGTAAGTGATTAAGTATTTCAATAAATCTATTGATTTTATTATATATATAAATATAATTATACATTAACATGTTATGTAATATGTATATTAACTTTTGTTGATGTTGTAACAGGAGGCAGAGGCTAATGCAAGACCCGTCCAATCATTGAATAATCGTTGGTTGAAGCTTTATAGACCAGATGACTTTAAAAATTAATTATTTATAGGCGAATTCATGATTAAATATATAGCTACAGTGACGACATATATGATTCTATTCATTCGTTGTGATACCGTATATGTATAATAATAAAGTGTTGTTTAATTATATTCCGAAATTTTGTCGAGATGTGTGGCCAATTAGGCACCCAATTTAGTTTTCGTGTTTATGAGGCTATTACCATCGGAAAGTGATTTGTATACAATAGTTTTTATTCGTACATACCATTTTATGCTTAATGGGTTGTACAATATAATAATTTAAAGCACAAATTGTTATGTATAGAAAAAATTTTGTTGTGTACGAATCACTTCTCATTAACATCTAATTGAATTTATCAATTTATGCAAAACGAATACCTTGGACATAATTATATTTAATTTTTGATAAATATATATTAATTTGACAATAAATTGAAATTAATTTGACCAGATTAAATAAATATCTATTTTCAATCGAATCATTAAAATGTCATTGTTTGAAAAAAAAAATTATTATATGATATTGTATGAAAGTAGAAGCGAACCAAAATTTGAAAATAAAAAGGCTTAGGTTCATAAAAAAATTAGTAAATTACTCAAATCCTGACCGACTTCAAATGACCATACTACCCTTGTTATATATTTTAACGTTTTTTTTTCTAATTGTTAATATCAATTTATTTCTTTTATTGTTACAAAATTAAAAAAAAAAAAAAGTACAACCCCACCCATAATAACCTGTTCAAAGTGCATAGGTGACATTAACAACAACCACTGACAACTGCCCTATCTATATTCTCCACCGATCACCACATCCACAAATCACCACCAGTAACCTCGATAACCACCACCTGCATTAAATCATATGAAACCAAAAGCAAACATGAACTTGGAAAGTTGATGAACTAGGAAAATCAAACATGATGCGAGCTTCTCATTTCAGATAAATTAAATACCAACAAATCTTGAATGAAACAAACAAAGTAAACTTAATGCAAACCTAAAACAAAGTTCAAGCAATCCTCAAGTAAACCTAATCAAACCTAATGCAACCTTCTAAAAAAATCTTCAAGCAAACCTGATGCAAATTATAACGCCGTGATTTTTCACTTCAATTTTTTATTTATAAACATCATTTAACAAATTATAGTAGCAAAAGTCTTAATTTATTCATTAGAAAACATCATCAACATTACTTCATTAAAATCTTCCAAAATCAACCCATCAAAATTAAAGTCTGCAAAATCGATACCAAAATAAGTACCAAAAACAAGTGTGAAAGAAATCACATTGACAAGTCTGAAACCGATATCATTACTAGGGTAATATTATAAGAAAACTACACAAAAGAGTCCCAACCTCTCAAGGCCATCAAATCACGCTACCTGTACCAATGCAAGACGGAAGCAACAAACAAATACACAAGTATCAACATCAACACAGTTACTCAAACTCAAGCACATAGGTATGAAAACAAACATACTTCATACAATATGTTTAGTTATGCAATCAATTCATACCAATAAACAAACATCACTTATTATTATCAATATCTAATGTATATATTAATTTGGACATTTTATTCATCGTTGTAATTATGATATAATTTACTTTGCTAACTAGGGTCTATAATATCGTAAAATCCCCAAAGAATGGCCCCGTTCGGTACTAACGTGACCTGACGACCCGGTGCACCAAATAGGGCGCAACTCCCACCCGTAACACTGTCTCTGGTTCTCCGTGTTCAATACTCCGACTTTTCATAATCGAGTACAATGCATTGTAGTTCGAGGGTGGTACAATGGTACTTCCACACGTATACCCCGACCGAAACGTGATGCTTGATTTGGCGTCTCAAAGTAGCCAACATCACTCCAGTCCGTTTACACCAACGTGTACGGCAACAGTGTTTCAAAATGGTTCCCTAGAAAACCACTTGACATTGACTTGGCTTAAGCTCTTTCTCTAACGTTATTCTTCCCCAGCAACATCCAATAGGGCACGCACCTAAGTGTAGGTTACTACCCTTTTACCCCAACTATATGTATTCCGCTTTTTAATTAATTAATTCACTCACATGGGTTATATACACACCTCACCAGTCCATAATATGTATTTATGCTTGTATTCTAATTATCAATTCAAGGCATATTACATCACATGTCATACTACAAATGTAGATATTCAAATTCACCATATAACATCATATATATATATATATATATATATATATATATATATAAAAGCATGTAAAGAAATACACATTTTTAGCAACAAACTTTCTAGCATGCATTTGTTAACTCCATGAAAAACATGTTATAACAGAATCATTGCATGCATAGCTTCACATTTCAACATAAAATAAAATCATCACCACTAGTATGAACCTATCACTCTTTTCATACACAAATTAACCATATTAAGGAGTCTAGAATACAAAAGCTACCTAATTTATTTGTTATTGCAATTCATCACAAATTCAGAACCCAAACATCACATAAAAATCAGATTGTAATATCACATACAATAATCTAGACCATATACTTGTACTAAAGCATGCAAAAATCCCATACATATACTTAAACAACAACAATAATGAATCACCTCAAATCCAAGTTATGGGAAGCATTGAATTGAGGAATACACTCTCCAAAAGACCATTAAGCACCCTAAAATTTTGCACAAACGCCCAATTAGAAACAAGAAATTAAAACAGAAAACAAAGTCTAAGTTTCATATTTTTGAAGTTTTACAACTCAACCCCTGTTCAGTGTTTTGAGCATAAAATATAATTTACAACTCCAACGAGATGTTATCAGACTTTTTTGGAAACTAGCCTTGAATTTATACAATTTCATCTCTTTGGTGAAGAGATTAAGTCAGACCAGATTAAGCTCTATAGCATTCAAAAAACAGATCATCAATTCTATCCAGATTTCCAACTTTTGACAAACATCACCAAATATTTCAAGGATTAAGAAAAGGACTTGAAAATAGATATAGATGGTAAGAAAGTCATCTATACCTCTGGAAATATGATGAATTTACAGAGGAAAAAGGAGGAAGGAAGACTTGATCTCTACTAGAAGAATCCCCACTCAAAAGCACCAAAAACACTACAGCACCTTCTTGAATCTTCACCAAAACTTCAAGAATGGTAACCCCACTTTTGAACTCACTTCAAAAGAACTTGGAGACTACAAATTAGGATTTGGTGTAACACACATTTTCCAAAAAGGATCAATTAAAGAATTAATGGAGTCAAAGACATGGGTTTTAAGGAAAACCATATGTCACATCGTGGTGCATGGAATACCATGACAATGCATGACATCTGAGGATCATGCATTTTGATGATCGTCATGACGTGGTGTAACGCTTGCAGATTCGGGGTAAACAAATAAAATATACTAAGTGATAAAAAAAACATCATTTTTATAGATGGTTATTTAGGATAAACAACCTTAACCAAATTTATAGTATGTGTGACAAGGATTATGTACATATAAAGAACTCTGAAATCCGACTTCGTATAAAGAAGTTATGTTTCTTCGAAGGTTCGCGATTAACCGACACATCTATATCTGTCAAAAAAAGTAAATTTTAAATAGGTTTATTATTAACCTAAGTAATATAAAAAAAAGGTCGTATTAATTATGAAATCGACATTGTGCATATAAAGAACACCTAAATCGGACTTCATATGAGGAAGTTATGATTTTTCAAAGTTTCAGCGCAACATTGTTAGCATAGAAATCAAATTTTAGATCGGTTGATTTTTAGTCGAAAAAATCAAAACGAGAGTCGAATATCTCATTAATAGGAGTCCATCGATAAAAAGACAGTCGAGAACGGATGTGATATGAAAACGATATGAATTTTAAATGGAGTTAACAGTCTAAGCTTTCTAAAATAATAAATAAAAATAAAGTGAGAATTAGCCGATAAAGTCTAAATGAAAGTTGTATATCTCGTTGATAGCTATGCATTGATATAAAAAAACATCAAAAAGAGAGTTTGTATGAAGAAGTTACAACTTTTTGAAGTTTCGTGACATGCACCCCACGCAAAGATAAAAATGCATACAGTAACCTGAATATTCGTTTTCATGCTATCTTGGCGAAAAATGAAGATGATGTATGGTCGTTGGTGAAAATAGTGAAGGTGATGAAAATTGAAAGGGATACCTTGTTCCAGGGTTTGCTTAAAAACTTTTGATATGCAGTTGTGGGAACTAATAATGTAGAGTTTGAGTTCATAATTGTTGATTTTCCACTAATGAACCTGAATGATCTTGTTTCAATAACACAAATTTAATTAATGTGGATGTGTCAAAGATCCTTGAATCAAATTGAAATGATTTCATTATTGGCTTTGGTCATATCAAGGTTTTTCTGGAAAGCAATTACAAACATCTGGTCATTACAGATAATGATCTTGCCTTGGTTATCAAGAAGAATGTGAAAGTGCCTCAAACTGTTGCAAAGGCTAAGTTGAACATCAATGAATTTGAAGACAATGAAATTATCCAACAACCTTTTAGTGTGGTTTTTCAGGTGAAGGACAAGAGGGGGAATTTAAAAAAGTTTTTATTTCAAATAACTGATCTTGAAAGATATACAAATTCCCATTTCACCAACATCTTGATTCGCATCAACAACTGCAAGAAGAATGATGTTGCAGACAAGGATAAGATAAAGAAGATTCTTTTGTGGTAAGTAATATCTCATTTTTTTTCCACCACCATGATAGCAACCTTAACCTAATTGCTCTTTTTTTACAACATAATTTCTATCGATGAACTTAATAGTAGTTGTTCTGTTAGCAGTAGTGTTCGTCAGAATTTGTTCAGCCATGGAAATATGTGCAACTATCAAAGGAGAAACAAGAAATTAAGAACCGGTTCCAGTGATTTCAAAGATTGAGACCTTGCCAGGGTGAACTTGGGGTCGATTATGAGGGTGACAGCCTCTGATTTTGACTTTTAAATGAATTGTGAGAAAGGAACAAATGGTTATTTTGACATTTAAATGGAAAAATTGTTAGGGGAGACATGAAACTGTAACATCTATAAAATTCATGAAAATTTTAAACTTTTAAAACAACCCAAAAATCATCATTGTTTACAAATAGTTTTCAAAACGGGTT